TTTCCGCTGTCCCTCGACGTCCGTTGCGGACGATGACGTATCCAACACTGGGGAGCTCACCTGTTTTCCTCTTCAGAAAAGCAAACCCCACTGACAACTACAACATCCGCTTTATCGCAGACCACTCACCAGGGGATCAGGATTGTCCTCTTCCTTGGACAATATTTCATTGCATTTTCTAAATGGAACGCAAATTCGGGCCCCCATAGTGACGACTGTTAAGAAAGGAGTGATTCGGAGCGGTTGTTTGTTTTATGTGTAGTTTTTATCGCGTCCTTTGCGCTCTTGAATCAGATCCGATTTCGTAGGGAACTACTTCTGATCTTAATATGATAGAGTAACCTTTGTACGCAGTCTCTGACTTCCGTGGTTTGCAGACTACTCTGTAAAGAAAGATGACCATAGTTTGTCTGGATCACTTGAGGAATTAGACAAGGTTCGCTCTATACGAATTTCTGCTAGGAGTTGGTATGGAGGACGTAGAGTAGTTCAGAGTTTGTCGGATGTGAAACAAGCACATCGGACACCGTTATTTGATTCACTCTGATTTTCAAGGGTTGTTAATTTGGTAGAAACATCATGCTTATCTGACATTTTGACGCCACAGATGATAGTTGGGTGATGGGGTGGTTTGAAGGAAACTATCCTCTAGTTTATAAGCGCTGCCTGAAGATAACTCTTCGTCACAAGTACTAGTAATTACCATAGTCTTCAGTCAGTATATTTGGAGTAAATGACAGAAACCCTTAAAATCTCCACTGAAATGGTACAGGAGTGCGTAGAATGTAGTGTTATTAAGTGTAAGTGTAAGACTTTCGAGAAGTGAGTTAAAAAGGCAGTATATCCTTCAGCATCGTATGTTACACGCTCCAGAACTGCTAATGGTAAATGGTAAACGGTAAATGTTATGAAAATAATATGCCTAACCATAAAGCAGATCAATTGTTACCAAGTACGACTGTGCCTTTGTAGTTAGTCTAACTGTATGGTTTGGCGGTGGAATAGTCTCCTCTGGCAAATATGCAGCAGAAACAGAAAAGGATAAAATAAGATGTATCCAAAATCTTGCAGGAGTCATCCAAGTTCTGGTAGAGATTTCCAACGGGTACGATATTGGTCAGTCATGCGAGGATATTCGCCGGACTAAACGCCAGCACCGTTTGGAGGCTTTCATAAGGCATTAAGTCTAGCCAAATGGCTTTGTTGGTTAGCTCTGACCGCATAACAGGCGATGAATGTCCACGCGAGATGACCTTAGACCGGACGCGGAAGCGCACCCCAATGCAGTGTTAGGATAATTCCTACCAAGCGGCCCGGATGAACTCTCAGGTCACGCTATC